CAAACGTTTAACGTCCGTTATGTCCACTAATTCGGACAAATACACTGCGAGGGAGATCAGATACCTGGACTATATATCGCAATTTACTACTGATATTAGGTACATTAAGGGTTCGGATAACACTGTCGCCGATACCCTATCTCGTACTGAAATGTTCGTCGTGCATACTGATGCACTCAGTCAAGATTTGATCGCCGACGAACAGGAAGCGGACATAACTCTGAAGCATGTGTTATCAGACACTTCTTTAGAACTTCAGAAATGTCCAGCTCCTTTTAGTAACAAGGTCTTATACTGTGATGTAAAATCCAAATCTCCAAGACCTTATATTCCTCCGTCTCTTCGTAGACAGGTTTTTGACCACCTACACGGACTCTCACACCCTAGCAAAAGAGCCACAGTTAAGTTAATTTCGGACCGTTTCGTTTGGCCGAATATGAACGTTCACATTCGCGAATGGGTTAATACTTGTTTACAATGTCAGAAGTGTAAGGTGCATAGACACACAAAATCTCCCGTGGGCACTTTCAGTGAGCCTGATGCTCGTTTTACTAATATACACCTGGACTTAGTTGGGCCCTTACCAACCTGCCACGGTTATTCCTACCTTTCTAACTATAGTGGATCGTTTTTCCCGATGGCCTACTGCCATCCCTGTCAAAGATACCACTGCTGTGACTGTCGCAAAAGCTATTTTAAGCGACTGGATTTCGATTTTGAACTCCTAAAGTGGTTACTACAGATAGAGGAGCACAGTTCCAGTCGTGTCTTTTCAGGGAATTCACTGAACTCCTTGGTGCAAAGCACATACGTACTACAGCGTATCACCCTGTGCTAATGGCCTGGTGGAACGATTCCATCGCACCCTTAAGGCTTCGCTATCAACGAAGCATGAGAATAATAATTGGGTCGATGAATTACCTCTCATCCTTCTATCGTTACGAAATATTCTTAAGGATGACTTGAAATGCTCCCCTGCAGAGCTTGTATTTGGTACTTCGTTATCTTTACCTGGCCAATATTTTTCGCCAGCTGTGACCACACCACCAGTTTCTTCCTCTTTTATTCAGGACTTACGCCTTAAAATGGCAAACTTATGCTATACACCACCGCGGCACTGCCCGAGTGATATCTATTTACCGTTCCAGCTCAAGGACTGCGAATATGTATTTGTACGTAATGACTCTGTTAAGCGGCCTCTTACGCCGGCCTACACATATTCATACCGCGTTCTTAAACGCGCGGACAAATATTTCCAAATACAAAAGGTATTCACACCGACAACGTTTCAATAGATCGGTTGAAACCTGCCTTTATAGAGAAACCGTCGTCTCATACTACTTCCCAATCAACTCCGCAAGTTCAGGAGAATTTTAAGACACCTGTTTCTCTCGACAAGCCTAAGTGTACCAGCTCCGGTCGAAGAGTCACCTTTCCGAAGAAATTTGAAACATTCTACTATTATTAGTCAAATGTCTGCGACATTTGATCCAGGGGGAGAGCTGTGTGGAATAATGTATTATTCCATCTACGACATTTTACGCGCGCGCGAGTTGCCTCCCTTTCTCCGACACTCGTGTGTGTGCGCGCGCGCGTTTTGACACCCCCCTTTCTCCCTCGTTCGGTCTAATACAGTAGTAATTGCTTTGGTCACCAACCAAGCGTCTTGCTACTACTGTTTATGCAAATTAGATTTTTGAAATCTTGCCGCGAAAAATTTGTGACGTCAACGACAAACTGTTGTTTCAAAAAAGTTAGTTGTGTTCCAGACTCTGAGCTGAGCAGACTCATTTTTATCCACGTCAATATTTCAGTTTGACTGACGAAGGATATCTTACTATGCGACCACAAATAATTAATTCCTCGTCCCTTCTGCTGGTCATTCAAGAATCCTTTTCTGAGACGATGCAATACCAAATAATTAATTTTTCGTCCTTTTGGCTCGTCATTCATAATCATTTTTCCGAGACGATGCAATACCAAATAATTAATTCTTCGTTCCTTTCGGCTCGTCATTCAAAGGCCTCCTCCGAGATGATGCAAAACATCCAAAATATTAATTCCTCGGCCCTTTGAGACTCGTCATTCAAAGTCCTACTCCGAGACGATGCCGAACATACAAAACAATCCGTCGTCCACTTTGGGTCTCGTCAGAAATCTGTTTTGAACCAGTACAAAAAAAAAAAAAAAAAAAAAAAAAAAAAAATACGTACATAACATTCACTCACATTACCTAAACTCGCAGTGAGTATTTTTTCCTTGTATGAATATTACCATGTACATTGACTTACTGGAACCTTTTTTCTTCAAGAACCTTTTCCCGCCTTTAGCCATCTTGTTTTTTTATTTTGGCGCGGAACTATTTCATTGGTCCCTACCACGGGGCAAATTACTTGTTTTTCCTGCATTCAATAAAAATTACTCTTGTTGAAACCCAGTCTTTTTCAGTCATTCCGAGGAGGCTATCTTGTTAATATAATTTAATTATGCACGTGTGATTTTTTTCACATTTCTTCGTTGTTCATTCACGCCTTTTTACTTTGCTTGTAGACTCGGTAGTTTAGTGTGGTGTCTGGCACAAGGCCACTCAGTATAATCCAGCACTGCACCCTACCGGGTCCGCAACAGCTTAAATCTTTAAAAAAAAACTTGGAATTTTGTACCTGAGGAATTATTATTATTATGATGGTTCTCTATTCGTTACATGAGTATGACTATTTCAGTTAATTTGCAGTATAAGCACCAAAATCCCGCGGTATTGACAATGTACCGTTCTGGTGTGAAACTGCTTGGTTATTTTGAAAATGACATTAAAACATTGCACTTGATTACCATTTAAAATTTTTGGACAATGTACATTTGACTTCATTCTTGTTGTTTACATATATTTGCATTGAGTAGTCGTGTAGTGAGGAAGCTTCCCTTGTCTTGATTACTGCGCAATGCACAAAGTTTGAAATGAATGTGTGAAATAATGCACAAAAAACATAAAATCCAACAGTTAAAATAAAATAAAAATTATGTGCCTGAAAAGTGAAAAAAAATGCTTTTACTTTTTTTCAACAATTTTTTTTTTATGTGTTGTAAAAGTTTCTTGAATCTTCATAAATTATATTTTAGGATCAGATTCTGTTTCATTAGCTATATGAAGATTTATTAAGGACAATAAAGAAAAAATACTATTAATTTAAAACTTCATTTTAAAAAATAAGCACATTTTAAAATAACACCCGCAAAAATTGTGCAGTAATCGAGACCAGTAAGATATGAAAAGCTGTAAAAAGGCCATTAACTAAGTAAGTTTCTGCACATTATGACTAGAGGAAAACATATGTAAACAATGCCAGTAATGGTAGCCGGAAAACACAAAAAAGATCAAACTTACATTAATGATAAATCAAAAAAGGTAATTGAGAGCAATGTTTTAATGTCATTTTCAAATAACCAGGCAATTTCACACCAGAATGGTACATTCTCTATACTGGGGGGCTTTTGGTGCTTATACTACAAATTAACCACTATTTCTATCATATCAAGACATCTATTTCATTTACATTTTTACACTAGATCATACATGTATGTCACAAAGATTATATATTTATTTGATTAACATTATATACAAAAGAAATTACTATGTATAAATTTAGATATTATGCTACAAAATTAAAGATAAATATAAATCATTATATTAGAGAGTAAAAAATTTGAATAAAATAAATCCATTCAAGTATGTACAAGTGGCCTATACATTAAAATCAGTGAAGCATGTGACCACAGATACACACAAAGTGGGGACATTGAGAATTTTAAATTTAAATGAAAAACTTTTTGTTTTTTAAGTATGTTTTTGGTATATAGTTTTGCCAATTTCATTTATTATTTTTCTTTTCCTTTATGTTTTTATCACTTTTGTTATTAAATATCCCACATTGTGATAATAGAAGAACTCTAATGTTATAAGAACCTGGATGTAAATTTACTGTGGGTGAAGTAGCAATTAAAACACTTTCTATACATTTTTGTCTTTTTGTTCTTTTGTTCAGATGAGCTCTTCATTACGACACCTAGACTTTTTGAATTCAAGAGCAGTACTAGATTTGTGTTGAGATCTAATCAAATTACAGTTGAGCTGGCTAGTTGTAGCTATAGGTTCTATGCTAACAGTTTCTTTTCTCACACTTCTTGCTTGTAGAACTCCATTCTGGCTACATGCTTTCCAGCCAATTTTAATCTGCAAAAATTTAAATGCAATGTCAATTGCTATCTATTGTCTTCCTGATTACTCTTTTCTCTTTCTGATTATTATTAATGTTTCTGTTCCTAATTCTTCCACATGTCGCATACACTGTGTTGAGTCATCCTCAGTACAATAAGAAATAAGGTAACAGTTATGCACACGATCGTTGCAAGTCAATTCAGTAGTGAGTGATATCTTCCTGAAGATATTTGAATAAGGCTAAAGGTTACACAGGATAGACAGCAAAAATGAAAGATAGAAAGAATCAATGTATAATAGCAAAAGACTGCAAAGCACTATCGTTCTAATACTGATGTGAATATACTAAATAAATAAACATTTTGAAGTTTTTATATGTCACTATGTGTGTGTTATGCTAGCTTTTCCCTTGTTTCTTTCTATGGCTATCATCATTTTTTTGACTGAAGTGTGTAATGAAAAGTGTTTACAAATAATGAATTCATGCTTATATGAATTGAAATAAAGCCCTTCTTTCAATTAAAAAGAGTCATGACCAGTCCAACCTTCATTCTCTCACTTCCTTTTCAATGCTGATGGCATACGCATTATCGAGCTAACTGATCATGGGATATTATGTAGGAAAAGTTTGATGCATACCTTTCATCAAGTATTTGCATGAAAATGACCTCAGTAATGTGAACCAGAATTTAAACAATTTGCTGGTTAAATTTTTGGAAAGACACTAATTATTGTATTCATTTTTAACCTTTTAATTTTTGTTTGCTTTTTTTCCCCAATTCAGGTTATCCTAATGATAAGGCTGCTGATGTTGTCTTGAAGACTGTACGAAATTGGTTAGACGATAATCATGAAAAAGTAAGATTGTTTTATTTTATTTCATTGTTTTTACTACTTCAAACATTTTGCTTATTTTCCACTTGACATTGCATATGAAAAATTAATGAATATGTAGTTATAAACCTCAACAAAATAAAACGTATTCAGATGTATATTCTAATAATGAAATGGTAACAAATATATATGTGGGAAAATGAAATAAAATCAATAAATAAAATAATAATAAAGAATAAAAAAAATTAAATACATTTTCCCATGAGACAAGTAATAAAGGAACCAAAAAGGACTTTTGATCATCTGCAGAATCCTTGTCTTTCCACTTTCCAGCAATAGCGTTCAGATGTGCCTTGTGGCCCTACTCATTGTTGTGGTGTCCTCCCTCGAAAGAGCCTATGTTAGACTCTTCCACCTACTATAAGATTAGTAGGACAGAAGGCTTTGGGGAACAGTGAATAGATTGTTCAACTGTCAAACTCTCTGCCTTGGCAGAGAGGAACTCGGACGAAGCTTTGCCGCAGGGCAAAGTTTCGTCCGGGGAGGTAGACAGTCCCTGAACCTGTCTAGGCAGGTTCAAAGGGAATATTTTTGGCCAAGTCTACAGGCTCGGAGAAACCCACGTTAAACTCGGCCTTGTGCCACATACATTCCTTGTGGGGTGACTGTTAAATATAACAGTGAATAGATTGAGCGCTAGTTCATTCGAGACACTCTCACTAGTCGTGTAATACTCTTCTGGTATACTTACTCTTTAATATATGATACATCTGCAAACCTGGTTTTTGTTATTACTTAACCATTTACTTGATCACAACATCTTGGCAATGAAGGATTCGAAGAAATGGACTTCACGTTAAATCATAAAAAAATTTTTTGCCAGTGTCTACAACAGTGGTGAAGAAAGGAATTCTAATCCAACTCTACGACAAAAGGGTTACAGTGAAAAAAAAAGAAACTCTTCAAAACAAGAGGATTTCTAAAAGTTCAATTAAGTGATTGGGAAGAGAGTTGGTGAACCTTGTTATTTTTTCCCTTCCAACAAGTCAGTAAAAGAACTTATTGTTTCGCTGATAGGGTAAAATAAAAATTTACCCCCTCTTCCGCTATTTTTTCAGTAAAAGAATCGTACAAGTCAAGCAGACATATTTAAGAGGGTAAAGAGAAAAAAAATCTCCTCTTCATTTCTTAATTTTATGTATCACCACAGCAAAATGGACAAATTTAAAACACCAACAGGAACAACAACTACTGTTGGAACAGAAATATCAAGAAAGACAGAAACACCAACAGGAACAACATTTGCTGTTGGAACAGAAATATCAAGAAAGACAAGAGGAATTCCAATGAGAACAAGCAGAATACCAGCAGAAATTTGAGGAATTGCACCTAGAAATTCAGGTTAGACAACAGAAACTGGAAGAAATGCTCCTTCAAACATAGAATGATCAAAGGCACTTGTATATGTCCATAAAAAAACAAAATGTGGACAAATAATGGGTTCTCTCAAAATGCTATATGAAGTGCTATTGAAAACTTCACATTTGCAGAAGAAATTCTGAAGAAGAAATTACATTCGCTTCGTACTTTAAATGTTACAAGAACTTATACAATACGTATTGTGCAAATTGGATTGACCATAAAAATGTCCGTCTACTCCTCAGGAAATTAGGCACAGCAGAATATACTAAGTTTGTTAATTATATTTTACCTAAGAAAACCAGCAACTTGAAATTTAAAGAGGTGGTTCAATCATTAACAGAACTCTTCAGTCCAAAAACAACACTCTTCCACAAGTGTTGGAAATGCATGAATCTCACCCACAAAGAAGACAAAGATTATACTACTTTCATGATTGTAATCAATAAACACTGTGATGACTTCAAATTAGCAGAGTTAAGTGTCAATAATTTTAAATCCCTGATTTTCGTTCAGAGTTTGATTTTAGCGAAAGACACTGAAATACGTTGTTGGGTACTCAACATGCTGGAAAAAGAACCTGATGTTACTTTACAGCAAATTGCCGAAGATTGTCAATGTTTCGTGAGCATTAGAGAGGATTTGAAAAACCTCAAACAGAGTGGTATAACTCACATTAAAGAAATATGCCAAAGAAAAATTTTAAAAATATGCCAGCCAAAGAATAAAGTTACTTTGCCTTCAAGACCATGTTTTGGGTGTGGTCAATTACATTGGTATAGAGATTGTCCTTTTAAACATGAAAAATGTTTTAATTGCGATAAATTGGAACACAGAAGTTCCCACTGCAGGATTAAGAACAAGACAAAAAAAGTGTTGTAAAGTGTTGATGAACCAGAAAGTCATGACATCAGGAAATATATTGAAGCGCAAAATTTAAGGCTACAGTTTGATTTGGGTTCAGACTTATCCATAATTAATTATCAAACATGGAAATAACTGGGCAAGCCGACTTTGTTAAGAACAAACCGAATAGTTAAAGTGTAAATGGCGATCCTATTAAGTTTATGGGCAAACTTATAACGAACATGCAATTTAAAGGTAAAATTTTAAATCTAAAGGTGTATATTATGAAGAATACAAGTAATTTGTTCAGGACTGATTGGTTAGAACAGTTTCAACTTTGGGATAAGCCTATTAACTCATTATTATGTCAAAAAGTCAAAAATTTGACTGACGAAGCAGAAAAGGTGAAAGGTGAACTTAAAAAGAATTTTCCCAACGTTTTCAGTGGAAGACTAGGAAAATGCGCAAAAATGTCTGCTAAGTTTGAGTTAAAGCCAGACGTAAACCCAGTTCTTATGAAAAAATGTAACCTTCCATTTGCCTCATTAAATCAAATTGACGAAGAATTGAATCAACCTGAGGAAATGGGAGTTCTGGCAAAGGTTGAATATAGTGAATGGCCATCTCCCACAGTTTATATATAAAAAAAAAAAAGAGCAAAGAAATTCATGTATGTGCTCACGTCTCTACAGGGCTGAACAGCACCCTAAAGGATCACCATTATCTCTTTCCAAGTCCAGAGGAGATATTTGCTAAGCTTAGTGTAGGAAAATATTTCTCTAAAATCGACTTAAGGAATGCATATCTACAAATACCCATGGATGAGGAATGCTCGAAGCTCCTTTGCATAAACACCCACAAGGGCTTATACTAATTTTTAAGACTTTTGTTCGGGGTTAAGGTTGCCCTTCCATTTTTCAACATGTCATGTACATGATGTTAAATGTTCTGGATTTTGTGGTGGCCTATCTTGATGACATCCTAATGAAAAGCGAGAGCATTGAGAAACACAAATCGCACGTTTGGCAGGTGTTCAGGAGAATCCAGGATCATGGTTTCAAATTAAAAGATGGGAAGTGTGAGTTTTTCTTAGAGAGGATTAAGTACTTGGGGCAAATAATTGACAAAGACGGAAAATGTCCTGACCCAGATAGGGCAACGGCAATAAGGAATATGCCAGCACCAGAAAATATGGCAGCTCTTTAAAGTTTTTTTTAGGTCTTGCCAATTATTACAACATTTTTGTACCAAGAATGCACAGTTTGGGAGCTCAGAAAGCTCAAAAGAAAAAGGAAATTTACGGAACCTTTTAGAAATTAGCCCAAAAAGAAAAGATATTGAATATCTTTCATTTCAAACCATGTCAACAGAAAATAGAAATGAATGAGTAAAAAAAACCATCTTCTCGCTTATGAACTCTTAATTATCAGAAAAGCACAATACGCATTGGATTATTGGAAATTATTATCATTTAAAAAAAAATTGTAAATGTAGTTCCCTTATATAGTTTTTTCAAAGTGGTTGTTTCTGATATTTTTTTTGTGAAAAAGGATTGAATAAAAAGTATTTTGTAGTAATTATAAAAAGAAAGACTTAATATGGAGTCAGACTGAAAAGGTAGCGGGGTTGTGGTGTTCTCCCTTGAAAGTGTCTATATTAGACTCTTCCGCCTACTATAAGATTAGTACAACAGAAGGCTTCAGGGAACAGTGAATAGATTGAGTGCTAGTACATTTGAGACACTCTCACTAGTCATGTAATACTCTGTAATTACTGTTTAATATACAATATATCTGCAAACCTGATTTTTGTTATTACTTAACCATTTACTTGGTCACAACATTCATGAAGTAAGTAATTTGGTTGTTCCAACTCAGTGCAAAACTGACTTCAGCTCAACCATTTTAACTATTCTTATCCTTACTTACCATAACTTACTTCTGAACCATAAAAGAAAACGGATATACCCAAGAGACAGTAAGAACTTTGTTTCACTACAGTCACAATAAAAAAGAACAACTGGTCAATAGTAGAAACCCAAGTTTTTGCATGCTTTTTTGTTTAAAATATGTGAAAATGCACACACCTAAAATGCACACAAACATGCAACCTTTAACTTCCATATATATATATTGTTACGAACTTGTAGCATATAGGTGAACCATGGGTTTAAAAAATGGAAAACATGGGATCTCTTCTTGGTCTTCACTCAGGAATGGAAGTGACACAAGGGAGTCAAAGAAGAACAGATGCAAGACGATGGATTTCAAAATAAAACATTTATTTATAAATACATAAACAAGTAAAGAAAGAAAAAGAAAATTCATTTAAGAAAGGGGAAGGGGACCATGAAGGAACAGAAGGTACGAGCAAATACATACATATACATAAAAAATCAAGCCAAAAAATCAACTTATATGTTAGTCAAGTTGATATCTCCACACAAAATTCTAATTTATCAAAGCAAGAGTTCTTATGTTAAAACAGTATCTTAGTCAGCCAGCAATTTTCCTGGCATCTCGTACGGGCGTATTGTTGGTTGATTCAGTTTCGTAGCATTCCTTTCATTCTCTAGTCAACAGACTTTGCTGTCTTCTTCATTTCAGTGGGCAGTCCATTTGGAATCAGGACAATTTGCCTAGTGATGTTCATCTGACACTGGTCAGACGGAAACTGAAAACCTTTTTTTAGATTTTTGCTGTCCCTTTCGTCCTTGACCGGGTATGCAGGAGGATGGGGTGCAAATCACAAAGGGTTTG